AAAATGAAATATAATGAGATAAAACAAAAACGAACTCATCAGGAATTGGAAAAAAAAGAAACAGAAAGAGCCCAAGAGAAGGCACAAGAAACAGATAAAAATCAAAAAGAAAGGAAAAGAGAAAGGCCTGACAGGACATTATGAAACAAGGAGCCTCCAAAGATGCTGTTGAGTTCACTTTCTGTTAGCCATGTACTGCTGGGCATGCAGCCGCCCACCCTCGACTGTGGTTTGTTCCTTCTGGGTTAGGGATGGGGCCATGTGTCCATTTCTTCTTTCAGCTCTAGGCCCCCATCTAGTGCAGGCCCAGCAGACCCCGCCATGCTGCCTCAGCCTTTGAGCTCATGTATGTTTTGATCATGTTGATGTAGAGGGCCTTGCTTCCTTGGTGTCCTCCATTCCCTCTGGCTCTGATACTCTTTCTGCCTCTTCTGCAGGGTTCCCTGAACCCCGAGGGGAGGGATTGGATGGAGACATCCCATCGATGGCCAAGTGTTCGAAGGTTTCTCACTCTCTGCATAATATGTCTGGCTGTAGGTCTTTGTATCTCCTCCTGCAGAAAGAAGGTTCTCTGATAGTAGCTGATCAAGTCACTGATCATACTTCTAAATACTTTTTTAAACTCTTTAAATACAATATTTTAATTTTTCTTTGAGAATTTTATTTATGTATACAATGTATTTTGCTCATATCCACCATCCATTCTGCCCTTCCAACTCCTTCCAGAGCCCCCCATCTCCCAAATCTCATGTTTTCTCAATTTTCTCTTGAAAAAAGGTATGCAAATATGCAAGTCTTTACATAGTTTGGTTTACCATAGGCCAGATTTTCTTTATCCATTTTTTAATAAGTCTGTATTCTTCTGTGTGTTTTAGTTTGTTATTTATGCTGTCAACTAACTCCATGGCAGTGTTCTTCAAATTGCCATATGTTTGCCTGCACCAGAAGTCCCTAGAGGTCATTGTTTTCTCTTTTAACCTGATAGCAAGTAAATCTCTGGGCTTTGGTTGGGTGTATACATTTGAAATAATATCCCAAGTCATTTCTATTCACAATAAAAGTATTACTTGCTGCATATGAATGACTAAGTTCATTAGTTTTTATCATGGTCATCGTGTAGAATTGTTTAGTTTGTGAAATAATATGTCAGGCAGAGGTCATCTTGAAATACATGGCAGGTTTTTTAAGTAGTTTACCATAGAGTTGAAAAAGTCAAGATACATTTTTATCTTTCATTATGAAATTGAAATTATGAAATTTTTATCTATTATGAAATTTATCTATTATTATGAAATTAACATTGTGTATATTCTGATATTTGAGAGAGACTCATCCATGTGGCTGTTTGATCTGGGAATCTTTGATCTCTGAGAGGAGCTTTGGTTGTAATGGGGATGTGCATTTTTAATAGACGAATTCATCAACACCAGAACTATACTTACTGTCCAGGATAGCATGGGGATATGAGAAGGCATATAGAGCAGTTTGGAGCTGGGGTGTTATATAGGTAACAGTGAGTTCTCCTAAGTACCAATATGTTTAGATAGTTAGATTTCTGCTGGTTATTTCACCAGCCAGCTGTGGGTCATGGGGGAAGGATTAGTTATGATCTTAGCAAATAATAAGCAGAATATTGACATCAATAATAATATAAAGACTTTTACTTAGGGGTGGTTTAATTAACAAGTAAAAGAAATAATTTAGAGAGAGATTCATGTACAGCTTCAGCAGGGCAGAGACAGACATGATGAAGGAGCTGTCCCAGAGGATGGACCCATAAGTCTGGGGATTGATCATGGCGAAAGTTGGAGGAGAGGGAAAAGTTAACCCTGGCCTCAATGATTTAGTCACAGGACAATATTGTTTTCCACTTGTAGAATTAGGCTATTTCGTAAAAGAGGACGGGTAGCAGTATAATTCCATAGATCACTTAAGATACTAGTAGGAAGAAGACATATTTGGAAAAGCAAAATAAACCTCAAAACCCTTACACTAGTGGTTCTCAACTTTCCTAATGCTGTGACCCTTTAGTACAGTTCCTCCTGTTGTGAAGACCCCAACCATAAAAG